TGCCAAAGCCGACGGGCGCCAACGGTACCCAAGAGAGACAGCCATCCCCAACGTCAACTACTGAGGGCGTGGTCGCACAGAACCAGGATGTGATACACAATACTTTGGAGGGCGTGGGGACCTGCACTGAAAGAGATCTGCGCTCGACGTAGCGTCTTTCATATCGCAGCAGCTCTCGGTACTGATCGACAAGCAGAAATCGCATCACTCGCAGCATGGTCCCTTCAGTGGTTCAGGCCTCCGCTCCAGAAATATAGCATGTTCGTGTCGCGACTCACCCCGGTACAACCACATATTGTATCACATCGACGCATCAGTATCTCCGCGCTTGCCACAACGTCGCCGCGCTTGGGGAACAAGCGCTAAAGACGTCGCTGTAGAGATGCTCTTAATTTGAGCTACCAATAGATCATGGAGGGGTTCTTGCCGGGGAAGAAGCGGGGTCCAAACGCGTGACGATGTCGTCGTTGGTCTCTAAGTGTTTCGGTGTAAGTCTGGTTCGATGATTGAATTGGTAAGAGTGACAGGCAGAGGGACAGATGGATAACCAAAATTTCTGGTAGCTTGAGGATCGAAGGTGGCATATGTGCAAGATGAACGTCCAACCACCGTGAACTTCCTGTTGGGCTGAAAGCTCGGGTTCTAATGTATCAACCGTCAATCTGTCTGCACCCCGCGGGTAACACGGTAGTGGGAACACGGGCAAGATCACAGAGGAGTTGATACTCTGTGACAACTGTTTGATCGGCGGTATATCCCACGAAGCTTCACCTGCTTCTTGATGCGATCGATCGTCAAGCCTGTGGACAAAAACTGTGCGGGTGCTGGTCGGCCTCAGGTGCACACTCGAACAGGCGAAAGGTATTGCAGCGGATAAGTCACAGAGTGACAAGAGTCCTGTGCGGTTGACGGGAGTTCTTAGTGGAACGGATATCGCTTGTGCGCCCGTGTGACATTATCCTTGTGTTCCTCGTGTGCGTTGATCGATTGGTTGCACCAACTCAAGTATGGTCTCGGCCGGATTTTTGTTGCTCGATGGAGATTGTACTTTGCCTCCGCCACAACCGATCGAGGGGGAACTCGGGAATCTGGCCCCGCATCAAGGTTCGGGTGCTCCCAACAACGGAGGTTCACCAGTGTGTTTTACCTGCTGACTCTCTGGCACGCATACCGCGCAGCTCCAACCAACCTTCGTTCCTTTCGCCGCTCGCGTCGTGAACACCACCGCCCTCGGCTCGGAATTGGGACATTACGATCCTCAAGACTCCATCCCCCCGGCTCATATTGCAGAAAGAAGGCTCCTTCGTCTATCGCTGCTGGCCATGCGGTACCCAGCCGGTTCGTCCCCCCACTATGGCCGGGATGGCTGTTTGGTGTATCGCTGCTGTCCCTGCGCAACCCAGCTGTCATGTGTCCGTTCGTATTTTTGCGAACCGGCGGTTTGATAATTTTCTCGAAAAACGGGTGAAACGTCACTTCACATCCCCCACGTGAACCTGATTCACCAACCGCGGTCCCCCCATCTCAAATGGCCTTGTGAAATGTCCACACGCCACCAGTCACAATAGCGGGACGGTAGGCGACGGGTGAGGCGAGTGCAGAGAGATCATTCATAGCGTGTGTCTCTCTCCAGGAAAGGGGGGAGGGGGAGACAAAAGGGATGCCTCGCAAGGCACCTTCGCGCAAGGTTGCTGGGTTGTCAGCAGGTTTGGCGGCAGAACCTCGGCGCGGCGAAGATCGTTGTGCTCCCGCTCTTGGCGTTTCGGCTGCTGCCGCGGCGGAAGGAAAGCAACAGCAGCATGGGCACAAGAGCCAGGAGCAGAAGCATCAGGGAACAAAGGAACAGAAAGGTGAGTCTTTCGTGGTCCTACTGTAGTTTGTACTTACTTCTCCGCAGGTACGTAGTCGCTTGTATTGCTTGCTGTCGTCGGTACCAACATCTTCTACGTGTCCTTACATCATGTGTCAAAGCGGGGATACTGTAGATATGTTATCACCGGGTACGGCGGGCGTGATGTGCACCAGCAACAGCAGTTTCGTTGCGGAGGGGGGCACGAGCAGCACATTGGCATCGAGGATCCAGCACCTAATATCAAAGACAAAAATGTCGGTTTGACCTGTGGATCTCATTACACCAGCCAGACGCAGCTTGCTTCGAGAGTGGCACCGTACACTGTTTGCAAAGAAGGGATACTTGAATTCGTTGCCACCACGGTTCTGGCGTGTGTACATAGTCTGCCGGTCTTGCCGGTGAGTTTCCCGAGCACGGATTAGCAAGAGTGTACCCAATAAAAATCTCGACTTTGCAGCAAAGCAGGGGGTTCTGTGGTGGTTGACAGAGTAAACGCTTCCCGGCGCGCCGTGGATGGATTTTTCCTTAACCGTGCCCATTCGCATTGAGCCGTTACTTCACAGGACCCGATGCTGAAGTAAAATCTGGGCTACAACCGAATTCAAATTCGGCACGAAAATGAATGGAGGCGTCTGCCCTGATAATATGTTGAGAAAAGCATACAGCCGATCATTGTCTTTCTCCCTACCGTGAATACGAGAGAACACCGGGGAGAGAAAACAAAATTTGAGAGATGCCTGGAAGGGTGGGACTACCGGCCTCAGAGCTGGAGGCCTCATCCCAAAAATCCAATACTTACATTAAATGATCCTAGGCCAAGAGCAAAATACAACAGCATGCTCCGGGCTTTGCTGCGGGCTTTCATCCCCCGGGAAGATGAATAAAGCACGAAAAAACATGCCGCCCATGGCCTGTTTTAAACAATGTGCCCACTAGTCTATTATTGTACTGCATGTACCACACTCGGGTCGTGTATTGTACAGCACTGCTAACTCCCGTTTTGACGCCAGTTTCGACAAAAATTAGCACTTTGAAAACCCCGAAGATTTTTCAAGGTCGCGCCGTTCTCCCACTCGCCTGTTTTCCAGCTCGGGCGCAGAGCACTAGACTAAATGTTGTTGAAAAAACAGCAGTGGGGTTGTCACGACACGTTTCCGAGGAGGGTGGTTTTCTGTACATGTGGGATTTGATGTACGAAGGAAGCACCAAGGATATTGCGGGCAAATATCCAGTGGAAAAAACTGGATAATTAACTCCCGATTGAGGATAAGGCCATTTCTTGCGGTTCTTTTTTCGCAGATATTTTTTTCCCCCTTTCGGACAACCCAGAGAGTGATCTACAACACAGATGACCCCCTTCTTACGGTGTTGGTCGATCCTTTTTCACCGACCAAAAATAAAACAGACTCTGCAACGGCTGCTGTCACACATACATGCACCTTCCCACCGAAACGGTTTTTCGGTGATATCTCCTCACAGAGTGAAGCAGCGCCTACTGTAAAGCTATATCTCGCGAGCTGTGTGTGTGGTCCGTCTTGGGTAGCGGCTGACAGAGACCACAGGGCGATAGGAGGCACGGGAATGGAGGTGCCGAGAGTCGACAGCACGCTGAAAAAATGCGCACCGCGCCAGCAACAATTATTTTTTGCTCTTGTGCCCCTGTCAAAACTTTGGTTTACCGGTACTCCCTCGCCACCCACTCTAGTAACAGTGATGGCAAAGGTATGCGCCACGAGCTGTGTGTATGGTCCGTCTTGTGTGGTGGCTGATACAGACCAGGAGGCTTTAGGACGCTCAGAAATTGTGAGCGCGAGAGTGGTGGACAAGCGGGAAAAATGATCCGCCGCATCTTCAGGCAACTTTTTTCGCTCTTTCGCCCGTGTCGCAACTTTGGTTTACCAGTACTCCCTCGCCACCCACTCAAGCAACAGCGATGAGAAAGGCATGCGCCACGAGCTGTGCGTATGGTTCGTCTTGTGTGATGATTGATACAGACCAGGAGGCTATAGGACGCCCAAAAGTTGGTTTCGCAAGGTTGACAGTACACGAAAAATGACCCACCGCTGCTGCGTCCAGGCTCTCTCGGATTGTTTGCCTCTTGTTTGCCGCACACATCGGGTTGTCCACCTGGTCCAGCCCACTGAAAAAACATTAGCTACCGCCGGTGCCACCGACTCTGTACCAGCGCAACATGACACAACTCGTGCGACCACCGTTAGAGTTTGCGGTGGGACGTCTAGAGTTCAAGTTTCTAGGTACGAGTGATGTGGTTGTGACCAAAAAAGACAACAGTTTTGGACAGCCTCCACTTGTCCAAAACTGCCCCAGAAAAAGACAGGATGGGCTGTCCAAAACGGGTTGTCTTTTTCTGGCGATCTTTTTTTGAGGAAAAAAGACATTGTAAGAAGACAGACTTTCTACGGCCAGTTGTCTTTTTTTGAGAAGGAAAAAAGAAAAAGATAATAAAAAAAGACAACCGCAAGAACTGGCCTAAAGCAGGGCACAGGATCTTTGAAGCCCTTTTTTTTTAGGGACTGGATCCCCCGCCCTCATTGCCCAGTTCCCACCTAGTGTGTTGCTTATTTCACTGTAGATACTCTATTGCAGGAGCGAGGCATAGCAGTCTAACAAAGAGAGCAAAAGTCAACAGCATGCACTGCTGTCCCACAGGAGTTTACTTCAAGTGAGTCCACCATCACCGGTCTTCCAGATTGCACAGCTTGGGGTAATCCCTTACATTCTTCTAATCTCCTTCATTTTTTCTGAAAGCAAGGTATCACCTAACTTTTGAGTGGATTGGCAGGCACAGAAGACGGCCACGAGAGGAAGGCTCGTGGACGTTTTGAATTATTCCGTATTCAGCCGGGCTGTTCTTTAGTTCTTGGTACAGGATTTGCTGCCGGTCTCCATCCGCTGCGTTCGCGTGCAGCAGGGAAGTCACGTGCGCCGGGTAGACCTGAAACGTAGTCCATGGCGGCGTAGACGTCGCGCTCCTGTACCACCATGTACAACAAGCGCCGTCCCCACCGTTCTCCTTTCGCTGCTGTTAGGCGCTTGTCGAGAACTCGTTCTTGCCAGAAACGTTTTGCCGACGATCTGTTTGCAACGTTCATGCCCACCAGATGCATGGGCCAACATCTCTATCTGCATGCAGTATTATCAGAACACGGTGGTGGTGGAGTATGTAAAGAATCTCGTGTGGGAAACGGTGCCCCGGTGCTACGGGGACACGGGCATTCGCGAGGTTGCTGCGAAGGCCGGGATGCAGACGGCGATCCAGGTGACGTTCAGAGGTTGAAGCGTGGGGCGTGCTTGTGTGCCTCTCCGTGAAGAAAGACAGGGCAGGACGAGAGCACGCCGTTGGGCAAGAGAGCTATTACGAGGGGGACGGAGGGAGGGAGGGAGGGAGGGAGTTTGAAGATATACTTTCAGTGCTTTCCGAAAATAGAACCGTGTGCAAGCCGGTCGCTAAGCATTCGATTTCCATTATGTTCCTTATGATTTAATCTCTCTCCCCAAGGCTGTGTTCCATAAATGACGGGACCAAAACAAGACTCGGTAAGGTAGTTCAGGTCTTGAGGTCTCTCCCAACAGCAACCTGTTGCTCTCACCCTTCCCATAACGGTTGCTTGAATGGTACTCAACCAAACCAAGTTCATCGGGTTATGCTGTGATTGGCCAAAAAATGTCGACGAACTCGCTGAAGACCGTTCGGTGGGTAACGACCATGCCCCCGACTTTCAAGTACTACCACAACATAAGCCCGGTCGCCCCTCGCTTTCTCGTCCTTACGAGCGCAGTCTAACTTTGACACCGCCCCCCGTCGCTAACCCATAACGCCTAACGGTTCCACTCAAACCGCAGAGGATGCGAGCGAGGGCAGACCAAACTGAGAGAAAGGTGCTGCAGCACGCTGATCGCTTCCCAAAACCGTTCAGCTTCGCCTCGGTACAGAGTCTGGTGGCTGCGCAGAACAGGTGGTTGTTGCCGTTTGGTGGTTGTTGTTGTTGTCCTTGTCGTGACTGCTCGTTCGCGTGCATCCGCTCTATTGTTCCCCACCAAATACTGGGAATAGAGATATTATTTTAGCGCCGCTACCACAGTTTTCACCCGAGCCAATTCCTCACCGTTCCCACACCATCCTTGAATCAGGATGGTGAGGGAAGAACTGGTGGCGAAGCTCGGAATCGTGGACAGCGCGCGGCTGGAGGAGGTCTTACCAGTCCAACGGGGCCCCGGGCAGCGTGCGATGGTTTCCCACGTGCTGACAGCGGCGATGATGTCCACGAACATCAAGGGAAGCGACATCCGTGCCGTCGCCGATGGAAAAAGCAGCGACGGCAGCGTTGTAGAACCGGTCGATTTCTCCGACGACGCTGCCGACCAGAGGTGGCAGGCCGAGCTCCAGCGAGCGCGCCAGGAAGCCGATCTGGAGAGGGCGCGCCAAGAAGCGGAGACGAAGGCCTTGATCTCCGCCACGGAGCACTGGATGTCGGATGCGTCCGTACACGCCGCCGGGACGGGCAGAAGCACGTGGTGGAGCGCGGACGAACCGCCCCCGCCCCTTCTCTCCGACTCCGATTCCTTCTGCTCCTGCGATGACGACGACGGTGGCGACGATGACAGCTGGCTGTTTGGAGCCAACGTTGCCGGCGGCGCCCACGCGGCTGCGCGCGGAGGTCGCGCGAAAGACGCCTCGTTGGCTACGACGGGCGTCTTGGGCGGGGCCGACAGGATCGACAGAGACGGCGGAGTTAAGCGGGGGCCGCCCGCAGACAAGAGAGGAAAAGCGAGCAGGAAGGTCGCGGCGGTGTCGGCTATGGCTTCGGCGCAGGGAGCAGCAGCCCCGCCTCCTTCTGTGCGTGATGTCGCGGCTATCGCTGAACCTCGAGCGACCAGTACGGATGCTGGCGACACCGGTGCCTCTGGCGCCATGGGTTCCTCTGGTGCCTCCAGCGCAGCCGGTGCCGACATGGAACGCTGGGCGAGTATCAAGCGCTGGGTCGAGGGTGTTGCGGAGGGCTGGATGGTGCCTCGCCGGGAACAGCTGTGGCACTACTTCCGCGGCAGGATCGACGGACGTGAGTCTGGCGTTGTGAGGACTAGCCGTTTGAACAAAGAATTCTCTCTGCAACCTGTCCCCCTTCTTTGTTTCTCTTTCTCTCCGCCTCACTCGCTTTGCCAGCGCATTTCACGTTCTGGTATGTTGCTGTTTCTTGATAGCATTTTGCAGCTCTTGCTGTTGCCACTAACCATGAACATGGGAACTACTGTAGGTTTCCGTTGTTGTCACGTTTTGGCTCTTTTTGCTCTCTCGTAGTCGATGGCATCATCACATACGGCAACGCCGGAGGGAGTGCACTCCGAACGGGAATCAAACAACGCTAACGACACAATCCGCACCGGGTCAGTGAACCCGCAGCTTAGTACGTTCCTTCCCGTTTCCCCCTCCCCCCGCCCCGTCAACTCTTTGTGAATTACTACGGCTCATGTTTCGCATACTCAATGTGTTCGATTCGGTGTTTTTGTCCCGAATGCTGCAGCCGTCATCGCTGATATCCTGATGTACCACGAAAACAACGCCCGGGCCACGGTGATCGCCTGTGCGGGGATGCTAGACCCACCTATCGCGGTTACGCTTTGCCAGGTGGGTGAAGATAATGCCGCTGTGTTTGTACGACAGCGGTCCACCCCAAGGGTCAGTCAGGGATAGGCTCAATGTCAGAGAAGGGCGTGCAACAATGCATTTGTTTCTCAGTCAGATGTTGTGGCCCTCGATATCGATCCACAGCGAACAGGAAGGAAGCGGAGGGGGGCACACACCGCCAATTGCGCCTGTAGTTATCCAAACGCCCATTGTATGCCAAGCGGTGGGGGAACCATGTGGTGGAAACAAGGTGACAGACGAGGACTGAACCACGATGATGCACACTGTTCTAGCGGTCAACTACATCGTACCAAAAGAAAGCAGCCCCCCCCTCCCTGACCTCAGCTGCTCCATGACATGCCGTTGCCGTGGAATCAGAGTCGAGCGGGGGCGAGTGCTGCTTCTATTGGTGGTGGCGGCGCGGGTGGCGAGGCTGGTCGTCACGGAAACAACGACAACGACGTTGACGAGTCTGACATCTCTGCAATCGTCAGCCGTGCCAATTTCCTGGCCGAAACCGACTGCCAGGTTCGTGTGTGTGCGCAAGGTAGGTATATCGGGCAGGGGGAGAGGGAGGGCACTCCTTGCTAACGTGGTCGCAGTCTTACCCTATTGGCCAACGCGGAGAGTGAGTCTCACTTGAAGCGGGACGAAAGCTACACGTTACATGAGCGTATTGCTGCGTCAGGCCTTCGGGTTTGCTACCAAAATTTAAACAACGAACCTGCGAATGCTCACGAACGCCTCTTGACCTTCGGTGCCGGGTCTGTGAGTGTTGTTATATTGGACGTATGGCAATTCCCCCCTGTACGAATGACTCCATCAACAAACGACCACGGCAAAACGAAATCAGGACGAAGACCGCCTCCAAGCTCTGCTTGACAAGGCCAAGGGCAAGGAGGGCATCAACCCGGTGCGGAAGAAACTCAGGAAAGCGATCAAAGCCCTGGTGAGAAAAAAACCTGGTCGATGGCCGCCCAGAAATTGTTCCCGTTGGCTGTCTATCGCGAACGGATGCGTCCGCGCGACGGACCTGGGAAAACGATTGTCTTCGCCGACGAAAAAAAAAACTACAGTAGTGTACAACATGCCGCCCCCCCGTCGGATCAGCTCTTCGTGCGGTGTTTGCCAGTACGTTCGTTGTAGGAGCTGCCGGTTGCCGGTTTCTTCCTTGCCGCAACTTGGATGATTGCCAGGGAGGTACTCGCTGTCAAATGGTCCTTTATCGTTGTGTCTTTCGTTTTTCTTTTGTGTCCATGGTCGGTCATGTACCCCTCCCAGTCCTCATTTCTCCACCCTGGGGTCCTTTACCACCAGCACAAGCATGAAATTTGTTGGAAAATCGTGAATGCTGCATGTGCAGAGGCTTCTCCTCCACATGCCCCTGCCTCATTCATGCACCAGTAGCGGAGCCACCAGCGGAACACCACCAACAGAAACGACAGCAGCAGCAGCAGCAGCAGCAGCAGCAGCAGCCCAGACAGCTTGCTGCGGGGGGCTTGTAGCTGTTTATTCGGTTGTCCCTTCCGCTAACACCACCTGGGTTCAATGTCCTCAGTAGACCTGGTGCAAGGAAGCGAAAAATGTTGCCAACTTCCTCTCTGAGCTTCTGAACCACTCCCCTTACTCCTGTCATTTCGATGTTTCCTGCAATGACTCATCACAGAAGCAACAGCGACAAGACGAAGGAGACCAGCGGGAGGAAAGAGACCCCCTTGTTGGAAAGCTCGGAGACAGGGAAGAGGAGGAGATGCGTTCGGGGCGCAAACCCACCACGGTCGCTGATTCTGCTCGCGCAAGCGCTACTGGTACGAGCCATGTCACCGCCGAAGGACGTCGCCATCAGTTACAAGAGCACCAGCTCCGTTGGGACAGAGACATGGCCATCGGACCCAACGGGGGCAAAGAGGTTACCAGAAGCAGCAGCAGCAGCAGCAGGAGCAGCAGCAGTAGCAGCAGCGGCAACGGTGGTGGCGGTGGCGGCGCCGGCGGTGGTGTTCACGACGAACTGATCAAGCAGGCCAATGAGTTGGTGGCGAACGGGTGCCAGGTGAGCTTCAAATCATGGTGAGCGATGGGGGGGGGGGGGGGGGGCTCTTGAGCGTTTCCTCACTTGCGCGCTGAAGATATGGTTTGAGCAGCACTGCGGAGAAAATTGGAAACTTAGACGTTCCGAATTGGATGTTACGGGACGAGGGTAGCGACTACAATCTGTCGTTTGTGGGCGGGATGCGTATGCAAGCACAAGCAACTGAAGTTTCACACTCGCGGATGAGCTGTTGCTGCTCCTGCAACGACACAACATCCCCCCCCCCCCCGCCCCTTGAATGTTGGTATATGCATAATTAAAGTATACTATCTGCTGGTTGAATATCGATTGATGCTTTTCATAGGACACCAGAAAGCTGACTGCCGTCCTGCAGAGGGCGAGGGGCAAGCCAGGTCTCGATAAAACCCGCAAGATGCTAAAAAAATCAATCAAGGTGGGTGCGCGGCTTATCGTGTGATTTCTCTGTACAGCGTGTGCGATTGATAGATTTGTACTGGTGCAATGCCGAAAGAAAAATTAAGGCGCGCATGGAATACTGGAAGACGGGAGACACGGACGGGTAACTTGTTGTTGAGGGTTCGCCAGTGAACCCACCCCCGTCCGTCTTCTTCCCTGTTCATTTGAAGGGAAATCGCCATTCTGCCCAGCAATGTTGGTGACACCTTTTGGGCAGAATTCGTCTCATTGCCGTAACAAGGAACCCCAAAGTAGCACGAGATGTATTCCCCAAACGATTGATTGCCGGCTTCGCCTAGAGCGTGAAGCATACGTGGTTGGCAGAGACTTGCTCTGCTCTTGCATAGTTCAAGACAAGATGCATCTAAGGGGGAACTATATCTTAACACTTCGCAGACTCAAAGTCAAACATCGGCAGTTCCGGGCAGCTGGCCATAAAAGAAAGAATAAACGCAAACATCGCCCCGTGGTTGGGCTTGACAGGGAACGCCTGGCCACAGTCCCGAGGGAAGCAGCACGTTAACCCCGCCCCTCACCCCCCCTGCCACCCCCGCCGCTCTTCGAGGTTCAGGAAATTACGATATATAGGCAGAACCGTGAGGCTGAGACCATGGCGGCGGCGATGACGGTGACAGGCAGGACTTCTCGCGCCAATCCCCAGTTGGTAGGATGTATCGCCGCAAGTGCAAATGTAGCTTGTTGATGTGGAGATGCTCCTTTCCGTGCCATCATCGAACATTTGCTAGGCGCCTGTCCGACGGTACATGGTTGCTGCAACAGTGAACCGCGTTTTGGGCACCATTGATACACGGCATTGATGGTGTTGAATCAGGCATCTACGGCGTGTAGGGCTCGACCACCTACACACCTGACACAGACTGGCTTTTGTCGCCCTGATAACACGGTCGATGCTTAGAAACTCACGAACAACACTGAAAAAAGTAGACGCAGTCATGGGCATGCAGGTGTTATGAGGCATGTTTGGTTACCCTTTTCTTCGTTGCGGTCGATTCCTCCGCAATATTTGCAACACAGGCTATCTATTACTAACAGTGTTTCGATCCTCCTTCTTGGAGTCTTACTCGAGCCTGGATTCAAGCACAGCGGGGTCTCTCATCCGGGACGGCTTCCGCCGAGCTTACTCGGTTCTGCCTTATATGAACAGCAGCAACACGCACGTCCCATAGCCCAACAACTGCGGCAACAACAGATAGCACCCAAACGACCCCAACCCTGGATGAAATCAATTTCACCCGTGTTCCCCCATCGTATTCCCCAATCTGTATGAAAACTTGTCCCTGAATCAGGCACTGCCCAAGAAGGGCAGCAAGAACGACAACTATCTTTTCCACCACGGTGACAACGACGATAGCGGAGGTGGCAGGGCAAACAACGACAACAACCGTGGCAAGAAGGGCTTTGATCTCTTGGCTACTAGCCGTGCCGTGGACAAGCAGCTCAACAGGCAGCTCAAGGGATGGGCCGCCGGACAAGTGCGGCAGATTATTCGTTGCCGTGCCGGCCTCGCCACGAGATTGCTAAGCAATCATGGCGCGACCCTCAACACGATTGTGGCAAGTATTCTGCATACTTTGTACCCTATGCGTGTAAGGAGAAAAGCAGCCGCGACGCGGCTTGTCAATTGCGGCGCTATGCTGTGGTCCACCAACAATGTATTTCACGTTCGAGGGTTTCGGAAAGAATGGGTTCTCTAGAACCCAAGCCAAATGGCAAATTCCGAATTACGGAAATCCAAATTACAATTCTCCAAATGTTCACCAGGAAGAGGCGCGGAAGCAGGTTTCGAGTAGACTCAGAACCCTCGAATCTGCAGTAATATAGTCACCGACGAGCTCAACAGCGAGAACGAGCACTTGTCTAGATCTCAATTTCAACTCATCTCACTTGAGGTCGAGTATCTCGTTATCTTTTACCGCGTTGTGAAGGTGATTAAGGGGTAGATGCGGTGAGGTTTGTACCGCTGTTTCTTCCCCGAAGGGTCGACCGTCGCTCAATAAGCAACTGGATGGTTTCCCAGATCCAACCATCTGCTAGTGTCCACAAGGGATACCCGTCCACTATTGATTTCGAAGAAATCTGATTTGAACCTCTGTCCCGACCAATATCCACCTGGGTGATTTGCTTCATTTGGAAAGTCATATCGAGCGTCGACACAATGGGCTATCGACCAAATACGATATGGATTACGGTGCTAGACAATAGGCGTGAGCGTACACCGGGGATAGGCTTAAGATGTGTCTCGTTAGTTTAACGTTTTTTCTTCGCATTCTTCACGCGAATCAATCAAATCGTTCCCCGCGAACACCGGAATGTTGCATTCCTGTATCGAGGATACCCCCCCCCCCGCCATCCGGGTTTCCGTGTCCTCCTCGATTTCGCCGTATTTTTTTGTTCGTTTTGTGTATTTTTGCGACACCAACAGGGAAAGAGTCGGGCAAAGGTGGACGTGCTGAGAGATGCCACGAACAACCACCGCACCGTTACCGTTCGCGGAGCCCCGAAAAATGTGTCCCACGCCGTTCGTCTCCTTTGCCAGGTATGATATTTTTGCTTTTTTTGCATACACAGACGGCTTTGGTACAACATGCTGTTCTGTGTAGCAAGCAAATGCCGGAGGCCTAGATCGAAATCGAGCCGGAGTCGCACTACTACACACGTGTACCCCACCCGTGTTGGAAATCGTGCTGCACATCGGTAGACACCTCTTTAAGCATCGGTTGTTAATGTACTCCGCACCGATGTGTTTTGGGGTATCATGAAGCCTGAAATGTTTCTGGGTGTGTCCCCGGCACTCCCAGTGGAAGCCTCAACGGTTTTCAGAGTATATTATTTCGCGCTCTGACGTTGGGTGCCGACTGCACACTTACCGCTCCGCATCGCGCATACCCGCTACCCCCCGCCCCTCCCAAATCGCCAAAGACTATCGGCAACTCGGTGGTTGTGGGCGAAGTCGAGAAATACCCACCGGCCGCATCTGCAGCAAAGCCTCGGGTTCGTTTTGCTGTGGGCGGAGGCCACGGCGATGGTGGTAGCGATGGCGGTAGCGATAGCGGCGATGGCGGCGGCTTTGACGTTATGACGAAGACCCGCGCCCCTGCCAACCACAGAAACACCACCGCCGCCGCCTGGACCACCACCGACACCACCACAAGTAATAAAAACAACGCCGACAACAACGACAACAACCACATCACCAACATTTGCGGGCACCACACCATACATAGCAAGATCGGCAACGCTGCCCTGACTGCAGCCGGCATGACCATGGATACATACCCCGCTCCTACCGAGCGTCCTAGCGTTGGCGCCGGAAACAACGACGTCGCGAACCGTTCTGCTCCTTCCGTTGGCGGTGCTTGCGCTGCAACCGATCCTGCCACGGCTGGCGCCTCCGCTGCTCCAGCTCCAGCTGGTACCGGTGGTGGTGATTACGAGGCTGTGGCCGGAGCAGGGAAACATGGCGCCTTCTTCGAAGGTATTGACGTTCCTCCGAGATCGACCCTTAGCAACAACCCAGGCATGCGGGACACGATGGACATGGTCGAACGGCTTCACGCGGCGGGTAGGGGAGGACAAGAAAACCACCGCCAGCCTCATCAGCAGCACGCTGCGCCCCCCGTGGAGGCCGCTGCTCCTGCCACTCCAGGCGTCGTCGATAGAAACATCGATTTCTCGACCCCGGGTCGTCCGGGCTTTGCCACCGTTGGTGATAGCTTCCCGGCTCACCCGCTGTACCCCATGGCTACCGCGCCTCCTGCTGCTCATCCCGCCGGCATCCCCAATGTCGGCAATGGTATCGGCCACGCCAACATGGCCCATGCCGGGTACGTTCCCGCGTTCGATGGCGGCGATGCTGTTGGAGCTCCTTGCTTTGCTGATTTGGGTGGGGTAGCGGCTGCCGGAACTGTGGGTGTCGGTGGTAGCATCGATGGGCTTAGCGCAGGGGCTCCTCCCGGGTTTTCTCGTGGACGTTTAGGGTCCATCAACGCTTTGCCAGTTCCGGCGGAGGCTGGGCACTCCGACGCGTCGGCCATGAGATTCTCTACGTATCGGCCGTCGACTGTTGCCGACGCTGGCACCGGTAACGCAGCCGGTTCCATTCCAACTATAACGGGGCATCCGAACATGACCGCTGCTTCCGGGCTTGGGGCCTTCGCTGCCCCGGCTACCAGGGATGGTATTTATTTGGCCGGTGATGGTGGTGGCGGCGGCGGCGGTGGTGGTGCCTTTCCTGCTACTGGTGTTAACGTTGATGCTGGTGGTTATGGTTTTCTTGCGTCATCCGCTGCTTTTGCTCAAGATCTGGCACCCTCAGATGCTGCTACTCCTGCTGCTCCCGCAAGTGTCTACCATCCGCCGTCTACTCGCCCCCCAGCAGCCAATCGTCCAGACAACGCCGCGAAATCGACTGCTCCGGTTGGTTTCGCTACCCCCGATCAACCCGCCCTTGCCACGGAAGCGGAGGGAAACTATGGACAAACCGCTTCAGGAACGACGCTCCAACAAATGTCTGAACAACCAAGCCTGCACAACGGCCACATTTCACCTGCCGGTGAAAAGGGGATCACCGCAGAGGTCGCCGGCTGGGGCAAAGCAGGAGGAGCCGGAAAAGATGATGGGAACAACGACGGGGATAATCGAGGCGTTTTTTCTCCTCCCAGTTGGACTGATGACGACAACGGTGACGGCGATGGCGACGGCGTCACGGACGGGGCTGGAGCCGGGGCCTTGGACGAGGCGGTTGTTGTTGCGGAACCCGATCCTCATGTGGAGGCGGTGTTGAAGGCCGCCAAGTGTGAGCGCATTCTGCCCTTGCTCGTCGCGAGGCAGATCGACCTGCGGAAGCTGGCGCTCATGGAATACGACGACTTCAAGGCGCTTGAGGTATGGTGCGGAATGAGAACCGTGGGGGTACCCGCAGCAGAAGGCGTTTAGGGATGGGGAAGGGGGAGCTTTCGCGTGCACCAGAGAGTCAAGTTTCGCAAGGATTTCAACGCCCCCGTTGTACTTGCCTAAACCAACGTATGCATCCTTGTGGTTGTTTCGGAACGGAATTGTGGAGCGAGCTAACTTTTTCTGGGTGTCCCCTTCCTCTAGGCACTGACTCAGCCCGGCGTGGAACGCTCCTATGTGACCCCCCTGCGTGTTTATTTCATGGTTCCTGCGTTGCGGGGAATTCTAGGATGAAAATGATGCCAGCACAAGGGTGGCTAGGGGTCCCCAGTTGAAAATCAAGCATTACTCCAAGCGGAAGATGAAGGAGCTAGGGGTGGAGATCGAGCCGGAGAAGGAGGAAGCCGTGGGCTACAAAAACGGCGGCAAAAAGCACGCTGGCCACGAGGGAGACTCCGAGGGGAAGTGCCACGTCTGCTGGGAGAAAGAGATTCAAGTACGTACATCTAGCTGGCTTGGCGGGCGCTCCTGTGCCGGACTGTTCTTTTGTTTTGTGCTTGATGTTGCTGCTGAATTGGCGCCATTCTTGTCTGTTTTGGAGTTGCTCCGTCGATGTTCCTGCGCGGCACCCCCGGCTGCAGCGCTGGTGAGTGCTTGACATACACGCTTGTCGTGTAAAATCTAGTGCTGAAATGGGGGCCCGACGTCCCTGCGATCATGTATGCCGACGACACGATCAACGGCAAAACTGTGCGGCGTAGCGTACGTACGAGCTCCGGGTCTACAGGCCTCGACCCTTGGTGTCCGTAGGCATCTCACCTCAATACTGCTGTGTACGGCCCGGCGTCTCGAAGAATCTGTGTGGCCGAATGTTGGCCGTCCCGAGGACGCGTCGCACAGTGATGTTCCGCAGTTGGTCGGGGTGAGCTTTAGCTGGATATTCACGTGTTCTCTCAAGCTTCTCTCTACCTGTGCGGACTACCATTGCTGCTTTCATTCACCCTGCCGTTCCCGTCGAAATTGATTATTTATTCTCGGCTGCCGCACAACATCAAATAATGTTCACCTTGGCTTGCTCGTTCAACGGCCCGTCGGTTCTTCCTTTCCATCCCGGTGGTCTGCTTGATGATGCTGGCATGGCGGGGGCCATCCTTGAAATATTGTAGCGATTTTTTTCGCAATTGTTTTCGCTGTTCCAAGAACTTCGTTCCCTTCTATCTGTTCAACTGAGATGCGCCGCTCCCTACTCTGTCGTGTTATCGCCTACGCTCAAACGCAGATCATCTTTTGCCCTTGCGGCCACGAGGCTTGCTGCGTAGACTGCGGAAAAGCCCTCGAGGGGGGTCCATGTCCTATCTGCCGTGCACCAGTGAAGGAGGCCGCCCGCGCCTTCAAGGGCTGAGCGGCGATGAGAGTAGATCCGGGAAATGGAGTTCATTGTAGAACGTTCGTCGTATCTATCGTGATAGTGCGGTTGCTCAAACAGCTGTAAGACTTTCACAATTAGGGGGAGACTGTACTACTTCGTAGTGCCCGTGGGGTTGGCGCGTGGTACATGTTGCCCCGGAATACTGTGTTTTCTTTGCGCGCGATACTTGTCTACGGCACATTTTTCCGTTCGCGAAACACACCGATACGAGGGTTGCGGACCCCAGGAGCACGAGAGCCGGCTAGCTGCTGCAGCAAGCATATTGCTTTCAAAGGCGCAGGCATATGATATACTTGAACCAATCGGCGAGAGGAGAATAGGGGAGCGAGTGTTGAAGAGCGCTGCTTATGCTACTGTACATTAGCGGAGGATGAAGAAAGATAGATCCGGACATGAGCTGGGAAGGGCGTGTGAACTTCCTGCTGACAAACGCACAGACTTTGTGTTATAGCGAACCGAGTTTGGCGTTCGATGGGGGCGAGGACGCACAGTTGCCGAGAGACGATGTACGGTGGCAATCTTTGTTTGGATGAAGGGGGGGGAGAAGAGATGGGTTGGTCCCGACTATTCATGCTTTATGGATCGGGTTTAGCGAGGCACACATTTTTTCACTTCTGACGGAAGCAATATTGTGGATTGGAGCGTAGAGATGCCATGGCTTTGATCCGTTGTACGGGCATGCATGCATTCCAGGACGAACAAAGTGGAGACGCGCAGGGAGAGGGTGAAGGCAAAATACCCAGTGTTTGGTATCAGAGTTCGCGAGGGATCCATGCTGGACGAAGATTATCGATGCTGAGCTGGTGCGAGCGATGGACTGCATTCGATGGAGATCGGGGGGGGGGGGTGCACGTTGTAGAAGCGTTCTGCACTTGAATGGACTGCGTTTAGAAAAAGAAGATTCCGAACTCTCGACGAACCTCGAGTGATTAAACATCAGGTACAACTGGACGAGAAACGTCAAATGCACTGGCCCTGGAATATATTGGATCGTATATGTTGGCAGTGGTATAATGAGCGCCACAACAATGGCTGTGACCGCACAAAGCTCTTCACAAAGCTCTTCGAATAGAACCAAAGCCCTCCCGGCATCACCACCTAGCTAGGTAGGGTTCCTGCCCTTCACCCTGTGGTGACTCCCAACACCTGCTGGGATTCACAGCGATTATTTGTGTACAGGGTCATTTTGGCTGCATCGTTGAGCCGAATGGCTGCGGTTTCCACGGGTGGAGTGTCGAACACTGGGGAAAGTCGATCTTGACGGGCCTGGGTCACCCAGGAAGCGGACGAGGTACAGTAGTACACGGAAGCGGCGGTCAGGAAATCTCGCCCAGCCACCTGAGAGTCCATCCGGTGCCATGCACCATCAGAATAAAGAACCCACAAGCAGGGGAATTGTGGCGAAGCGACGGCCTCATGTAGAAACGAGGGGCGAGGGAGTAGCTCAAAGGCAAACATCGCTCTCCTTTAGCAACCGCCAATTCCTGTGTGGTCGCACCAATAAGAATCGCGCGATACCGTCGATTCGCTTGGCGATATTGGTCGGGCAAAGAACCTGTGCAGTACCGGAGAACATGCGGCTTGAAGTCCGCAACATCCCATCCAATTTGCGCTCCCAAGAAGGGCGAAGAAGATCCTTTCAAAGTGTCTGGTACAAAGTCGGTTCCGTTCTCATACGTGCCCATCCGAAAGGGGTCACCGGTGAGTCAACTCAATTCAAGACAAGTAGACGTGTCATCCTCTTGCAGGTGCTGAAAGTTTCTTCACAAGTTGTTGCGCGTTGTACAAGTATTGCTGTACTGTAGGCAGTGCTCGGAGTATCGGAAGGAGGTGTTCGTCACACACGGGGCTGGGCTGCCGCAGCCCGCAATTTTCCAAGTATACCAACCTAGCCACCTTTCCACCTGGAGAGTGACCTCCCATCAACCAGCCATGATTGTTGAGGTTAGGGGTGTGATGCGTCAGCTTAGAGACGAAACAACACCGCTCGTACCTTGGTACTGCACATTCGTGAGGTTTGATTCGGCTGACTCGAGGACAAATGTTTCACCCTGTACATCGTTCTATAATAATACCTTTCACTACCTGGAGAAGAAACCTGACAGCCTTCCGGACGTGCTGGCATGTTTGGCATCTACATAAATCTGCAAGAAAACCCCTTTCCCCGGCGGTGCCGACGAAACGACCGACGTACTCTAGCCAAGTCAACTCAGATTTGATTCAAGTCCCAATAGATACATAATTGGCACCCGTTGTTTCTCCAGCCGTCCAGCCGTCCTACAAATCCACGCACATCCCATGTCGGGACCGACGTTCATAACTAATTGCATCCCAAGGTTGTGGATGGCTCGTTCATACCCAAGGTCCACACGCTCGTCGAATGTTAGCAAGTATCTTCCCACGCAACACCACAACAATTGTTAACACTACAACACGCACCGCGACCCCCTATGTACTTCACCCGTTGTATCTTCATCCGTCCCACATTGTCCACCTGCAATTTCAACCTCCAAACGGGTTGACATCAACTGCTATTTTTGGCTCTAGAGCACAGCACCCCACCCTTCGATAGACATCACCCCTACTATTTTGCATCAGAACCTTCGACATCTATCTTCACGAAAAACACATCTATCAGTCAAGTCTCCCAAACGTTCACGCAAATCTACCAATAAGCTACCAAACGTCGTCGTACCCAATCCTGAGACGATGACAACGACGACGATGACATCGAGGACGCCAACAGTGACAACAACTACGAAAACGACGACGACGAAAACCTCGAAAAGGACGACGGCGAAAACACCGACGACGACGACGGTGACAACCACAGCGACGAATCAACACCGACGACGGCAACAGCGCCGACGACGTCGATGACAGCGACGATTCCGAAAACGTCTGACTTAGTCTTCCTTCAAATGCATTCTTTTCTACACGGGTCTGTCACTTTCGCCACTTTCCTGACAGTTACTGGAGAGGTTTTCCCATTTTTCACTCTTTCCTACCTTCTTACGTACTCTTGTGCTACTGTATCCATTTTTTTTTTCCCGATTGCCCCCCGTCGACATGCTTTCCTCCCCTTTTACGATCTTTCCGTTATTTCGCGTTGCGTGTTCTATTTCGACCATCGCTCCCCCTCTTTGTTGTTTTCCTACCCACCCGTCTTTTTCCCATTACGGCGAGCATTAATACATCGATGTCTTCGTCCTTGGCGTTGTTTACTTTTTGGCTTTGCCACGTTTCTTTAGGTTTCCCCCCGTTTTATTGCGTCAACTTCTGAAGGTTTTTTCCGTTTGCAGAGACTCTCTTGCGGCGGGAACCGTACGTTCCCCCTAACTTCTGCCCGTCGGCGTCTTTGCCGTTTCCGGTGCGTGTTCGTACTTTTCGTTCTTGCCCCTGTTTCCCTTTCCTGCTATTTCTCTTGAAACTTCTCATGTTTTCCTCATGTGTGTCCGGTACTATACTTTACGTGCAGCTACGTCTTTCTCCATCGAGACACTTCATTATATGAAGTTCAACTGCACGTAAGTGAGATCGGTTTTGTTTTTGCACCCATTGCCCATGCATTACTTGCACAGCAACCCAACCGTGCTAGACGCAACATGCACGTCAACTTGTTGTGCTGCGGTTACGACTTCATCCCTGTATAAAGAGACGAGTCAAGCGATAAGTTTACCCTTTATAGTTGTCCACGCCGAAATCCCGCCGTCATACAGCCCGACATACATATCCCAATCATCACAACGCCGAGGAATTTCTGTTCAATGCGCGTGGCGGTGCATGTCTGGGGAACAACCGGCTTCTAGATATATTTTCCTGTCTTGCGACGGCAGTCTGGCCACCCGCCCCATTGGGAGGCGGGGGGTCATTCTTTCCCCCTACATAGCCACCACTCGTACAAAGTGCATATACCAGAAATAATTGTTCGTGCGTGGAAGTATATACATGTAGTGTTGGTCGGAAGTAGCCGTTACGTAGGACGCAGTTGGGGCTTTCCTGGAGGGTATATGGAAAGAGGCATTTGGATAATAGTACGGAGTCCCCGTTGTCTGTCGAAGTCTTGGGGCGCACCTCTTTCTCCTCTCTCTCTCTCCCCTCTTGCGAGCTTGTATTACAATAAAGTTGAACAGCAACCCCAGTTCGCACGGCACATACCGGTGCCAGAGCTCACGCTACACGAACAATGCATGCAGAACAATGTCGAATCTGATCACAGACGCTCTCTATCCCTCATCTCCCTTTCGCCACCACCATTGCCATTCAGGCAGAACTGCACTCCCACCAAGCCCACGCCCCTCCCTCCCAGCAGGGAGTCGGGCCACAACGTGATATTGTCGGTTGGGAAAATCCTCCGACCCCAACCGTTGGAGGCAACTCGGCCACACGTCCCCTCTTGTCCACAATCAGACGGTCAAGCTGTCTTCACGTGATGATTACAGACTTGGGCACGCCTTCACAATACCGCATCAAACCCATGCAGTAGAATAGAGTCGTTCTTGTACTGCAAGCACTCCAACACAGGGAAAGCACATCCATCAATGGGCCAGTTAAACCACGAGAAGAATATCCCCGAAGAACAGGTGTGTCAGAGTCTTGGGCCGCACGACCTAAGGCTGATTGAATCACCAAGTCAAGGATACAAATAGACTGTACCATCGTTCGCATTTCAAATGTTCTTAGCGCCTACGGTTGGGTGCAACTTCGATCGGCGGGCGGCCGCAAAACACGAGGACTTGACGAAAGTTCGGTGGCCAGCTTCGCGAGAGTCTTCCAGGGCGCCACCTATTCGTTAAGACGCGAACGGCAAGTGTCTACACCACACCCCACGAGCATTTTGCTGTGCCTGCTGGCTGAATATATGTATGGAATCCCTTGCTCGGCTAAATCAACGGCATCCAACACTTGACCATACTCAAGCACACTCACTCACATTATTTCATAAAACCGACTTGCGTTTTTTCCTTTTTCTGGATCCCCGGATCCTCAGGACTAAAAGAGAAGCCACAATGGCAGGGAACGTTTTCCCAAAGTGCACGTTTCTGGGAACTTTCTATTCGTGTATCTGCCGCTCTGCCCATCAATACTGTCTCCTTCTCTTCCCTCCAAGCACAGCCGAGGGTTCTCTTTCCTGCAGCAACGGGAACTACAGTGAGTGCTACTACTGCACGCAATAGTCTCAGAAGATCAATCCCCATAGTTATAGCCTCTGCACCGCTTTCTTCGCTTCACTCACAATGATTGCAACCGAACGTCTACTGAAGTCGGTCCTCTCCTTTCCCCCAACCTTCGAAAGAAAAACGGGTGAGTGGGTGGGTGGGAAAAGCCTTAACTTGTTAGCAGCCCCCGAGGCGTCTATTTGTCCACCTAGACCCTGGTCTCTGTGCTACGCTCTCTCTGGCACGCTAAGACTGTCTGCGTGAACACAGAACTTCGACAGACAGAGTGGGTACAACTCAACTCCTTCCCTCCTTCGGGGGCCCCGTACTACAGTACATAATGCCCAAGCTTACCCCCAAAACGAACGCCATGCATGCCATCCGAATGGTTAAATAAACATCTGTTTGTTTGTCGATGACCTTCACCAAATCCACTTGCCCCTTTTGCCTCGTCTCCCTTCCGCCACTACCGTCGCCATCCAGA